AAGTAATAAGGCCTAGGTTTCAGTCCTAATCCTGCCTCTTACCGTTTAACTTTATGTAAGTCATTTTACTTGCCTTAATTTACTAATTTGTCAAATCATATATGTATAATACATACATATATATGCATCTTCTTTTATGTGTATGCATATATATATAATTCACTTATTTGTTTGAATTTACTAATTTGTCAAGTCATATGTATAATACATATATATGCATCTGCTTTTATGTATATGCATATATAATTCACTTGAGTATATGAGAATTTCTTTGCTTTTATATACCTGTGTGTCCACATTTATGTGTATGTTTGAGTGTATAACAAATGGTGTATCTAAGCATATGCCTTAGATACCATGTACTTTAGGAGCCATGTACATATCTGTAAATATTTTAGGGTTAGGATTGGGTGTGTAAATATCAGAGTAACTCAGAGTGTGTACTTAAAACTGCGTTTGCATGCCTATGGCCATGAAAGCGTCAACACTGAGGCTGCCACTAAATATCAGACTGCTCAAGGGAGTTGATCCCCTAAGGAGCTCTTCCTTCATCCTCACATGCAACCCCCAGAGTGCTATAGAAATTTTGTAAATATTCTAGCCCCAAGTAAGGGAGGGGCCACTCTGCCTGCTTTCCCCATGAAGGAGAGGGAAGCACCTCTCACAATCTAGTGTCTGCATCCCCCACTCCTGAGGATACCATCCAAGCCTTGAACCCAAACCAGACTCAGAGCCTGACCCTGAGCCCTAGATTCAATCTCTACTCTGACTCAGACCTTAATTCTCACCCCAGTTCCAACACAGACCTTGTTCCTAAACCTTGAAGCTTGTCCTAATGTCAGCCTTAACCCGAATCTGTGCCTACCCAAAACAAAACAAAACAAAACAAAAAAACCACCCCAAATGAAGCTAGCTGTTAGAATGTGAAATACTAGAATCTTGATTTGATTCTTCCTAAACCACTTCAGAACAGTATCACACCCTTGGGACCAGAGTGGGAGAGGTAAGTGAATGTGTGTCTATGTTCCTATTTTCTCTTGGTGGAAAGATGGGACTTCTTACAGGTTAGGAGTGGGCTGGGAATCTTATATATGCTCTTAAACCTTCTCCATGTTAGTTGATCTTGCTTAATTATTTTTCTTTAGTATAAGGGAATGCATCAGGGGTTAGATATGGGGTTGTATATTAAGGAAATTACTATGGTATGAGAACAACAGGTAAGAATAAAACTATAAAAACAAAAGAATGGGTATGTGAATGTTCAGGTATGAGGGGCTTGGAGGTATTTGTGAGTATATGTTTGCACGCCAGTGAATGTGACTTTGTGTTGTATAGCTATATGTGGCTGTATGTTCATGAATGTTTTCATGTTTGTGGATGTGAGTTTGCATGAGAGTGTTTGTGTTTATGTATATATCTATGTACACGTGTATGTATATTTATTTACAAATGAGTATGACTGAGATTCTTTTGTGTTTGAGTATATGTGGGGCTTCTGCTGTGTGTCTTTTTCTGTGTGTGCCTATGTTAAAGATCATGGGAACATAGAACTTTAGAATAGAATGAGATCATAAGTTTCCATTTCAACCCTTCTTATTTTACTGAATCAGTTAAATTAGATTAAAGAAACAGGTCCCAATAGCCTTTTTGTGTGAGTTCTAGGACGACGTCTTGAGGGGATGTGAAGATAAATAAGTTATGTGGTCCTCGACCTCATGGAGCAACAGTCCAATAATACAGATAGCCCATGGACACATTTAATCATGTATGATACAGAGTATAATGTTGTGAGTGCACAAGGATGGTGCTGGGAAATAGTGGGAAGAGCACTGAACTTGGCATTGTATCACCTGAGTTTGAGTCTTAGCTTCACCATTTGTTACTCATGTAACCTTGGTTAAGTTTTAGCCTTCCTAGGACTTGGTTTCCTCATTTGTAAAATAAGCCTCAATATTAGCACCATTTTTATATGTATAAAGGCCCTTATTATCAAATTCCTGGACTATTGCAATAGCTTCTTTACATGTCTTCATAACTCCATTATCTACCCCTACCGTGAGAAAGGTTCCAAGAAAAAAAAAATCCTTAAGCATAGATTTAGTCCTGGCACTCCTCTTATATCAAATTTTCAGTGATTTACTACTGTACAAAGTAAATGTCAAACTACTTTGCCTGGCATTCAGGGCCTTCCCCAGCTTGCCATTCCATGTATCCATCCTCATTTCCTATTACTTTTCATTACAGACTCTATATGCTAGCCAAATTAAACATTTCTTCATACCCAAACATGCTCTTTGCCTTCAGCCATGCTCTTTTTCGCTCAAGCAAAGAATCAGTGAGATTCGTGAATGCCTGCCTATCACCTGTTGGACTTTCACCCATTCCTAAAGCCCAATTCAAATGTTCCTTCCTCCAGGAAGCTTTTCCTCATCTCTATCTACCTTCCCTCTTAAAGGTACCCCTTTGTTTGCAGTTCTCCAAGACCTTTATCTTAAATACCTATTGTAAGATTTATGCCTAAATATGAAATATCATGGAACTAATTGAAGTGTCTATGGGAAGCCAGCTGGATGTGCCCACCAGGAAGCTAGGGGTGCAGGCCCAGAGCTCAGGAGACAGGTCGGTCTAAGAGACAAAGCCTTGGGAGTCACTCTGAAAATGTTTGTAGGGAATGAGACCAAGCCAATGGAAAGGCAGAGGTTGAAGATATATGAAAGAGAAGTGATGATTAATGGAACAAGGCTCTAGAGAAGGGAGGAGTGGATGATGGGATCAAAGGCAACCATCAAAGGCTTTAATAAGAAGACTCTCTAAGATGGGAGGGAAGCAAAAGCATTTGAGAAAAGACATAAAGGCTCAGACATGAAGAAAAGGAGCCAAAGGAACTTTGATTAGGTGCTGAACAGTTTTCTCAATAAAATAAGAGATACATTCTTTACATAGGGGCAGGATTTGGGGAAAAGATTTGGCACAACCACTATGGGAGATGTAATAAGGGAGTATATATGAGACAAGTAAAAAAATTGTTGTGCCCAATTGAGGATAAAGAACATGATTTTTAACTGACTCCATGATGGGGAGAGGGATTAGTCAATTTTTAACTTTGAACAGCATGAAAGAATCTAAGGACTGGCTTAGTTAAGTTCTGAAGTAGAGTAGAAACTGATAAAAACTAGTCCTAAACTATTCTTTGAAGGTTCTTGTATTAAAGTGTATCTTTGAACCATTCCCTCCTCTCTTGTCTCTAGAGTCTCAAAGGAAGCATCCAGAGAATACTCTGGCAGTCTCTTAACAGAAAGAACACAGTATCCCCCTGCTCATGATAGGTATCTTCCCACAGACATTCCGAGTACATATTGCGGGGTGGGGTCACAATGCTAGAGTAAAGAAAAGCTTGAGGTTTCTGTCATTCTTGCTCCCCAGTGCCCCAGATCATGGAGTCAACTTGTGATGATGATGATGATGATAATGATGATGATGATAATAATAATAATAATAATAATAATAATTATAGCAGCAACAAATTGCCAGTATGTATATACAGGCATGTTATTGTTGTGTTCAATCATTTTAACCATGTCAAACTTTGTGACCCCATTTTGGGGTTTTCTTGGCAAAGATACTGGAGTGGTTTGCCATTTCCTTCTCCAGCTCATTTTACAGATGAGGAAACTGAGGCAGGCAGGGGTACATATCTTGTCCAGGGTCACACAGCCAATAAGTGTCTGAGGTCAGATTTGAACTCATGAAGATGAGTCTACCTGATTCCAAGCCCAGTGCTCTATCCACTGTGCCACCTAGCTGCCCCTCATATACAGGCATATCTTGTTTTATTGTGCTTCACTCTATTGCGCTTCACAGATAATGCATTTTTTTTTACAAGTTGAAGGTTTATAGCGACCTTGCTTTAAGCAAGTCTGTTGGTGCCATTTTTCCAACAGCATGTGCTCACATCATGTCTCTGTGTCACATTTTTGCTAATTGTTGCAATATTTAACCTTTTTTCATTATTATTATATCTTTTTTAGTGATGTGTGATCAGTGATCTTTGATGTTACTATTGTAATTGTTTTGGGATGCCACAAACTACACCCATATAAGATGATGCCCTTAATTGATAAATGTTGTGTGTGTTCTGACTGCTCCACTGAAAGGTTGTCCCCCATCTCTGTCCCTCCTTCAACTTCCCTGTTTCCTGAGATACAATATTGACATTAGGCCAATTAATAACCCTGAAATGGCTTCCAAGTGTTCAAGTGAAAGGAAGAATCAATCCATGTGGCAAACTCCATCGTTGCCTTATTTTAAGAAATTGCCTGTGCCACCCCCGCCTTCAGCAGCCACTATCCTGTTCAGTCAAAACCCTTCAATATCAAGGCAAGACCCTCTACTTGCAAAAACGATTACCACTCACTGAAGGCTCAGTTGATAGTTAGCATTTTTTTAGTAATAAAGTATTTTTAATTAAAGTATGTACATTGCTTTTTTTAGACATAATACTATTGCACACTTAACAGACCACTGTATAGTATAAGCACAACTTTTCTAGGCACTGGGAAATTAAAAAATTCATGTGATTCATTTTATCGTGATATTTGCTTTATTGTGGTGGTCTAGAATCAAACTCACGATATCTCTGAGATATGCCTGTAGTACTTTAAGGTTTACAAACTATTTTACAAACATTATCTTATTTTATCCCCACAGCAACCCTGGGAGATAGATGTTATTATTGTCTCCATTTTACAAATGAGGAAACTGAGATAGAAGTTAAGTGATTTGTCCAAAGTCACACAACTAATAAGTATCTGAGGCTGAATTTGACTCGAATCTTTTTGATTCCAGGTCCAGTGTTTTATCTATTATGTCATCTTGCAGCCTAATAGCCATGTGTTCCTTTTGTATCTGGAGATAGGGACTGGAAGAGAGTGAGGCTGAGAACAGGTCCCAAAACATCTACATACCAGCCCCATTCTGAATGGTCTATACCTTTCCCTACTATGTGGGGTTTCAATGACTCACATTTCCAACCAGCCAAGTTGCAGCTAACAGGCATTCCAGGCCTAGAGACTGGAGAAGGGTGGGTAGCGCTCATCTTCTGCTTGCTCTATTTGATCTCCATTGGGGGCAACCTTGCCATCCTGGGCCTTGTGTTACAAGAGACTGCCCTGCACCAACCAATGTACTACTTCCTATCCATGCTCTCCCTCAATGACCTTGGTGTCTCCCTTTCTACATTGCCTACTGTACTGGGTACTTTTTGCTTTAACTACCATGAGGTTGGCTTTGATGCCTGTCTGGTCCAGATGTTCTTCATTCACACTTTCTCTTTCATGGAATCTGGGATCCTGCTGGCTATGAGCTTTGACCGCTTTGTGGCCATCTGCAACCCTCTACGTTATTCTACCATCCTCACTAACACCCGCATTGTGGTCATGGGCTTGATCATCCTTGCAAAGAGTTTTGTCACACTCTTCCCTTTCCCTTTCCTAGTGAAGCGATTGCCTTTCTGCAAGGGCAATGTCCTGCACCATTCCTACTGCCTCCATCCTGACCTCATGAAGGTTGCATGTGGAGACATCCATATCAACAACATCTATGGGCTCTTTGTGGTTATCTTTACCTATGGTGTTGACTCAACCTTCATCCTCCTATCTATGCCCTCATCATAAAGGCTGTATTAGCTATTGCCTCACAGGAACAGAGATTCAAGGCACTCAACACTTGCATTTCCCACATCTGCGCAGTTCTTGCCTTTTATGTGCCTATCATTGCTGTCTCCATGATTCATCGCTTCTGGAAGAGGGCCCCACCCATAGTTCATGTCATGATGTCCAACGTCTACCTCTTTGTGCCTCCCATGCTCAATCCCATCATCTACAGTGTCAAGACCAAGGAGATACGCCGGGGATTTCTTAAGATCTTCCAAGAATCCTAAATCAAGCATTTGTGAAATTGAGACACGGGTGGAAAGGGAAGATACGGATTCATTCTCCAGAACTCTAGATAATACATCAAGGGAAGGGTGGGTACATTGTATCTACAAGGATGTTAATTTGAGGTAAATAAAAGGCAATCCTATGCCACAACCACAACGGAGGGCCAGCAACCTTAAAGAATTGTTGAATTTATAGCTAGAAGGAACCTTAAGGACCCACATCTAATTATTTCATTTCAGAAACGGGGAAATTTTTAACTTGTTCTCCCAAGATGTGGCAATATTAGACTAGGTACTCCATTTTAGTTGAAAGAGCTCTCCTAATTTATGAATGGGCTAAGTTGTTGTTGGCAGTATACTATTCAGACTCATCCTTGGCATGAGAAAGTGAAATCAGGAAAAAGTGTAAAAGTGTGGTCTCTGCACTATTCAATCACAAGAGAAATCTCAGGGTCTAGAGGAATTCTAGAGAAGACCAACCTAAGTGGAGAGGAAGAAGCACAGGAAGATGGCCTTTACAGATTGAGCTTCTACAGTGTGAGGAAGGGAGGAAAAACAAAAATACAAGCTTTAAAGAAATAAAATCATGAAGAGCATGGAGGAGATAGAAAGTGGACTTGTTCTTTTTAATCAATTAATAAATATTTATTAAGTTTCCCCATCATGTGCCAGGTATAATGCTAAGCACTGGGGTTACGAAGAAAAAAGTAAAACTTTATTTGTCCCCAAAGAACTCACAGTCTAGTAAGGGGAGACAATGTGTATATTAGAAAAGGTCACTTTGGTAGCTGTGCAAAAGATAGATTGGAATCAGGAGAGACTTGAAGAGAATAAGAGGCTATTAGGATGTCCAGACAGGAGATGATCAGAATGTGAATTAGAGTGGCATCCATATGAGTGATGAGGGGAAGATGATTGCAAAGGATGCTACGGAGATCATAATGACAAGATTTGTCATCTGAAAGGCCATGTCGGGTGTCTGAGAGTAAGGAGTTAAGGATGATATATATCTTGGTTACAAACCTAGGTGACTTAAAAGATGGAGGTGTCCTAGACAGTAATAGAGACATTTAGAAGAAGAGTGAATTTGGAGAAGGGAGAGATAATGAGTTCTCTTTGGGGCATTTTAGATTCATGATGTCTGCTGGACATCCAGTTCAAAATGTCCATAGGGCATTAGTGATTTAGGACTGCACCTCAAAAGAGACTAAAGCTGCAAATTTAGACCTAGGAGTTATCATCACAGAAATTATCAAGAGAGAGACAGAGAGAAAGACAGAGACAGAAAGAAAGACAGAGAGAGACAAAGACTAAGTGAGAGAGTCAAGGATGAAACCTACAACTGGAAGGGGCTGATATAGATTATGGTCCCCCAAGGAAACTAAGAACAAGTAATCTGATAAATAACAAGAGAATCGAGAAAGAAAAGTATCACAAAAACCCAGAGAAGAGAGAGTGTCTAGGAGAAGGTGGTGGTCAACAGTGTAAAATTACCTAGAGAAGTTAATTTTTTCAAAAGACAGAGAAAAAACCATCAGATTTAGCAATTAAGAATTCATTAGATATTTTCAATAGCAGTTTCAGTTGAGTGAAGAAGTTGGAAGCCAGATTGTAAAAGGTTGAAAAGTGAGTGAGTGGGGAGGAGAGGAAATGGAAGCAATGAATATAGTCTAGTTTTTTTTCAGAGCCTGAGGACCAGTAGCAGGCCCTCTTGGAGCTGGAAGGAAATGGTTTGAAACCTAACTCACCCCATGGGGAATCCCCATGGGGAATTTATTTTACTGGTAGAGTTCATAAGCTGATAATATGAACCAACTCTAGAGAGTTCAGAGAAAATCTGGACATGTCACAGAGAATTTAGAAGTCAACACTGGAAGGACCACAATTAACCCAAGACAAAAGACTAATTGTAACAAGGAATTATTTAATAATTTTAAATAATTCATTATAATTTTTGCTATTCATGCAAATGTACATTAAATAAAATTATTACAAACAGATATTATAATTTTACTTTGAAATAAAAACTTTCATCTTATTATCTCTTATATGTGTAAATTCATTATGACATTTGATCCTGCTTGGTCTGGAAAAGATTAATGAGTTAGAAGTCATGAGAAAGCTGTGGTCAAATCCCACTATTGATCTTTGAAATTTACTAATTGTGTGACCAAAGGTAAGTCACTTAACCTGTCTGGGCCTCAGTTTCCTTATCGTAAAATGAGATTGTAGAGGGCTATTGTGAGAATCAAAAGAGAAAATATTTGGGAAGCATTTTGCAAACCTTAAAAGGTGGAGAAGTCATGAGATATAGTGGACAGAGAGCCAACCTTGAAGCCAGAGGATGTGGGCTGAAGCACTACCTCTGACTCATACTTCTTGTGTGAGCCCCAGGGCAAGTCACCTAACCTCTTAGAGCTCTGGGAAACTCCCAAGGACATGAATTGCAGAGAAAGTGGCAAATTGCATTGGCAAAGGTTCCCTATGCAAATGAAATCACAGGTTCAATCTCTAACCCTAAAATGCTACATAGCAACTGTCAATTATTACTATTGATTGGATCTTAAAGATTCTGTAATCCAACCCCTCATTTTAGAGATGATAGTAATAAGAGCTAGTATTTTACAAAGCACTTTAAAGTTTGAAACGTGCTTTACAAATATTACCTCATTTGAGCTTCACAATAACCCTGGGAGGTAGGTGCCATTATTATTCCCATTTTGTAGATGAAGAAACTGAGGCAGACAGAAGTTAAGCGACTTGTCCAGGGTGACACAGATAGTATCTAAAATTGTATTTAAACTCAGGTCTTCTTGCCCCCAAGTCCAGTAGCACTCTATTCATTGTGCCACCTAGCTGCCTTTAATGGGGAAACTGAAATGGAGAAACTGAGACCAAGGAAGAGGGAAAATGAATGTTAAATATAACAAAAAGAAGAGAAAAATGTTTTAAAAATTTGTTTTCTCCAACCTCAGCTAGATTATCATTATTGCATGGCAATTTTATTTATGACTACTCACATTGTCTGTGCCAAATCTGCTCTCTTTTCAAGACCCTAATTCCACTATGACTCCTCTCTTTCTCAACAGATGACCTTTGTCTTCTACTTTACCAAAAAGTTTAATGTCCTCAGTTGTCTCCTTTTCTCCATACCCTAAAACCTATGTCTTCACCTTGCTTTTCTTTCCTTGTTCCTATCACCAAAAATGAGATGTTCCATCTCCTTTTTAAAATTAACCCTTCCATTTGTACCTTTGATCCCATTCCCTCCTAAGTGCACTGGAACCTTGCCCACTGATAAACCTCCAGTGATTCATAGGAGTTTAAACTACAAGGCGTCTTAGCGCTCATTTTGTCCAATCCCCTAAATCAGTCAGTCAGTCAATAAACATTGATTAGCGCCTATGTGCCAGGAACTATGCTAAGTATTGAGAATACAAAGAAAGACAAAACAGTCCCTTCCCTCAAGAAGCTCACAATCTGATGGACAAAACGATACCCAGAAAGTATTGTTTTTAACTTTAACTTAGCTGAAAAAATGGGAGAGGGGAAAGGTAAGGGAGGGTAATTGACCCAGCATGATGAAGTCCTGCAGCCAGGTGGGAAATAATGAGGTGAATACCCTGAGTGCCCTCATTAAATGGTGGAGGATGTCTGTGATGGAGGTGACTCAGGGGCAGGAGGGACCAGGAAAGTGTTCAGGGTATCTAAGTTTCTGGAGACAATGAGAAAGTCCAGGAGAATAACCCTTCTGCAATCTCATTTTATAGATGAGAAAACTAAAACCCAAGAGATGAAATAATTTGATAAATGTTACTCAGATAAGGACTGGAGCTGGGATTTGAACTAAACTCTTGGGTTCTTTACCCTAACCCATGGTTACTCCATCAATTTTTTGTTCTATTTCATCTTTAATCTAGCTCTGTTAAATCCTTTCCTCATCATCTACAAATATGATCAGGACTCCTGTCCTTAAAACAAACCAAAACCAAACCAAACTTCTCCCCCTGCCGCTCCAATCACATCCTGTCATCCCTCAAAGCTGTGGCAGGTTCAAGATTGGGCCTTGAAGGAAGGGAGTTGTTGTTCAGTCATTTTTCAGTCATGTCAGACTCTTTATGACCTCATTTGGGGTTTTCTTGGCAAAGATACTGGACTGGTTTGTCATTTCCTTCTCTAGTGCTTTTTACAGATGAGGAAATGAGTCAAATAGGGCTAGGTGACTTGTCCAGGGTCACACAACTAGTGTATGAGGCAGCATTCGTCTTTCTGACTCCTGGTCTCTATCCTGTCTATCCACTGGGCCATCTAGCTGAAGGAAGAGAGGGACTTCAATAAATAAAGATAGTCTATCCCAAACATGAAGAACAGTTTAAGCAAAACTCAGTGATGGTAGAGGGAAGAACAATGTAAGGGATATTGTTGAAATATTCTCTCAGGGATGGTCTTACTGCACCATCTTACCCCACCCCTGCCCACTATTTGCTGAGACTGGCTCTACAGATGAGTTGATTGGCAAGACAAAGGAAGGATTGTAAGCAACACCAACCTCAGAATCATCTTTACACTAACCAGAGCTTCTAGAACTGCATCTTAAGTTGTCCAACTATCTTTAGAGGACATCTAAAGTTGCAAACATGGCTGATGTTCATGATACTGAGTTCTCTGTCTGTATACCCTCTTGTGGAATTCTATCCCTGATCATCTGAACAACTACTTTTTTCTTAGCCCCCTTTGGGCTGTTCAACTTGGACCAAATCATGTAGGGTACTAGAGCTGAGAAGCTCTGATCCTGATTATTCCACATTCACTGCTCCCTGGGGACCTATGCTTCCCTTCCCTGTCCCCAGTATAATTCTCTCTCATTCACAGGCTTCATACATTGCACTCCCCTCTCCTGTTTTCCAATGTATTGTCTTGTGTCCCTGCCCTTAACTGTGACTGCTCAGCCTCCTCTGCCGCCTCAATAATGGATGAAAATGTAGTGAGGACTTTCCTGATCTTCCATCCGTACCCCCCACACACACACACACATCCCTACATACAGACCCAGGAACAAATAAGGATTGAGGCTCTAGTGAGGTAACATCCTTTCACTGCCATCTCCAAGTGAATGGAAAAGGAGAGATGGAAAACAGATGTACTTCTACCTCCAAAACACAGAGAATCCTCAGGGACATTATTTCCAAAAAATAACAATTGATTAGTGGGGGGAAGGGAAGAAAGCTAGTTTTCCTGGAGGGTAAACAGAGAAAGAGGGGCATTTGGGGAGAACCTGAGGGAAAGAATGGAGGAAGGTTGGAAGTTCCCTCATGGAGTGGTAGCTACAGCATCCTTTTCCCATTCGTAAGCTTCCTAGGCCTGGGCACATATGTCTGAGAGTTACTTCACCTGTGCTGTTTTCTGTTTTCTTTCTCCAGCCTCTTCCCTGAGATTAAGTTCTAACTCTGATCCTAGATTTGGGAAGATGATGATGGGGGCTGGGGGTAGACAAATATATTCCTGCACAAGTATATGTGTGTTTAATTATGTATGAGCATACACCTTTAGGGATATCATTTCTGTATGTGGTATGCAGGTGTGCCCATGTGAGTGTGGATGCGGCTATGGCTGTCGCCTCTGGCCTTCTTTCCCCATGGGGACTGAGCTTTACATCAGTGCTTGCTGAGTTAAATATTTCCCAGAGACACACAGGAGCCTGTGGCCCTAGAGACCTATCCTGGGGGGAGGAGGTCTTTGAGAATACTATATCAGTTTGTTGCCCCCAGTTTCCCAGCCAAGGCTCCCTCAGCAGGCAGCCACTTTAGGCCCTGACTTGTCCATCTATCAATCTGCTCTTCTGAAGGGGGTGAGTGTCTATGTATCTGTCAGCATCATAGTAGGAGTGACAGTGTGTCGTAAGACTGTGTGCTTATATATATGTTTGTGTGTCCAAAAGGTTTATATATGTGTATTACATGCATGTCTCTTTGTAAGCACATGTGAGTTGGAGAAAGTGACTGTGTGCCCCTCTGTGAGGAACAGGCCATATTAATGTCATTTATTAGAAGGATATGGGTCAATGGGCATCTCCTCAACTTTCCAGTATGGAAACATAGCGTTTTTGAGATTCAACCAGGGGCATGGTGCAAAGAGTGGAGGCAATTGTAGAGTAATGGAAAAATCTCTGCCCTAGGAATTCAGAACAGGGTTGTATAATCTTGTAAATGTGGAGCTAAAAGGAGCTATTGGTAGCATCTAGTCTGACCTAGTCATAACTCTTTAGTCCTGACTCTGTCACTGATTTCACACACACACACACACACACACACACACACACACACACACAGTCTACTAGTAGGAAGAAAAGAGAGATCAATGGACAGGGGAGAGTATTTATTGGGCTGGGGTTAGCTGAGGTGCTTGTAGTCACTGACAAGCTTATCAGTTCTTGAAAAGAGGAACAGACCTGAAGCTGGAAGGGAACTTGGAGGGGATCTAATTCAGTCTCTTATTTTATAATTAAGGAAACTGAGGCCTATAAAAGTTAAATACTTTGTCTAAGTTCACTTAGTAAATCACAAAGACAGAATTTGATTCTAAGACTTTGGGATTCAAATCCAACACAGAACTGTTTGCAGTATAACATAATATGTTTCTAAAGTTAGCACATTTATTTTGGGAACTCTAGACTTAGTGCAATTCACTCCTGTTCCTTTCCTTAACAAACTTATTCTACTTTCTCTAGAAAAGCAGATTCTCTTTAAACAGTGAACCTTCCCTATCATGAACTTACATAGATCAGGTACTGAGAGGTTCCTAGCCAAGCCAGTGGGGCAAGTGCTGGACAGTAACAGCATCCTATAGGGATGGCCAATAGAGATAAGGATGGTGGCAGATTGCAGGGACATAGAATAGAGAGGGAGCCAAAGATGATGCTCTTCAGAGAGAGAGAGAGAGAGAGAGAGAAGAGGAGAGAGAGAGAGAGAGAGAGAGAGAGAGAGAGAGTGTGTGTGTGTGTGTGCATGTACGCATTTGAATGTTATACATATTTACATGTATGTGTGTTGGAGTATATTTGTGATTACATAAAACACGGCTTTCTAATCAGAAGGCTCACAATCTGTTTTAACTGTGTCTGCAGCTTTCTCCTGGGCAGCCCAGGACTGCCTCCACTCCATAGTACCCTTAGATCCAAAGCCTCTTGCATGTATCCTATAATATAAGTTCCTCACTTTGCCAATTCCAATGCAACTCATACTGACATATTATTTCACCAAAGGGTCCAGGAAACTTATTGCACAAACAGTACTAAAGGTTCGACGTCTTGCAGTGCTTTCCTCTTACCATTCCTACTTCCTTCTCATTTGTATCGCCAGTCCAAAACTGAGCTATTCTCCTCTGTTCTTTTGGGCACGAAAGATAAAGCCAAGATCCTTTTCTCTGGGGCCTCAGAGCCATCTCTTCATGCTAGAAACATTTCCCTTTCCCTTGGGCACTCAGTCTTCAAGTCAGCTTACCTGAGCAGCAGTTACCTTTAAAGGTGCCTCTCTACTTCTGCACAGAGATCTACAGCCTGTACTTATCATCATATTTCCTTTTTCTTTCTGAACCCATCTACAGCCCCAAGGTTGTTCACAATGTCACTGATCTCCTCCAACAAGCCTTAGCATCACCATGGGGCATCAGTCAAGCTCACCTAAATACCAGTAATGTCTCCTGGTCTTCTCAGACAAACATTAACATAGCTAAAATGAATTACATTTGGGCTACTTAGGACTTGGCCAGACTGGGGTTTATTTTCAAAGCCTGACATAGTAAGAAAAATGAAAGAAAAAAATCTGGCATAGTAAAACTCAGAGAAAACAAACCTCAATCCTACATCTGGTTCTGGCCCTGACTTATGGTGTAACCTTGGGTAACTTACTTGCTCTCTGTGGGCCTTGTTCCCTATTTATAAAATAGGGGAGTTGGGTACAATTATTTCTAAAGGCCTTTCCAACTCTTAACATTTCACATGCTATGTTAAGGCCCTTCTGGCTCTGGTATTCCATATTTTGGGTTGAACAATTATTTCCAGCTTAAATATTCTATGGTTGTATGATTCAGGGACAATGAGAACGTTTGTCATAAAATAAAATAAAACTGCTGAAGCTCTTCCAAGGGGAGAGGCAGCATGGCGTAATCAACAGAGGGCCCATCCTGGAGTCTGGAAGTCATAGTCCCATCTCTGACACCCATTTCCTGTGTGACTCTAGGCACGTGATTTCTCCTCTCTGTGCTGCCAGGCAACTCTCTAGACTGAAAAGTCCCAGGACAGTTGTGGATCTGTATTAATAGAAAGACTTTTGAAAGCAGGAACTGTCTTTTGCCTTTCTTTGTTATTCCCAGTGTTTAGCACAGTGCCTGGCATGTAGTAGGTGATTAATAAATGCTTTTTCCCTGGTTGTCCTGATGAAATCCAAGGCCTAGGACAAAAACAAATAAATAAAATTCTCCCCAGTCACTGAGAATAACAACAACCAATAATAACAATGATAAATGATAATAGCTGCTGACATTTATGCAGTGTTTTAAAGTTTGCAAAGTGATTTATGTATGTTATTTCATTTCAATCATTTCAATTTCACAATAACCCTGTGATGTATGTATTATACATATTATTAATCTCATTTTTACAAATCAAGAAACCATAGCTTAGTAAGGTTAAGTGATTTACCTTTGGTCACATGTAGACTAGTGAGTCTCAAAGGCAGGATTTGAACCTAGGTCTTTCTGACTCCAGGATTCCTTCCACTGTGCGATCATGTAGTATGGAGTGATATGTGACTGAATTGACAATGGTCCTTATTAGAAGCTAAGCTTGGGGTGTTCTTTCCAATGACAGGCAGTGTTAACCCATGGGAGTCCTGGCTAATGTCACCCTTTCTCCTTCACCTTTTTTCCTGACTGGCATCCCTGGTCTAGAAGCACAGCATGGCTGGCTCTCCATCCCCTTCTTTGCCATGTACATGGTGGCAATCATGGGCAACACCCTGATCCTGGCAGTAGTGCGAGTGGATTCCTCTCTACATGAACCCATGTACCTATTCCTGTCCATGCTGGCCATCACTGAAGTGGGTGTTTCTGTCTCCACATTGCCCACTGTAATGGGCATCCTCTGGTTTAATGCCCGTGAGATAAGCTTGGGAGGCTGCCTGGCTCAGATGTTCTTTATCCACACTTTCTCCTGCATGGAGTCTGGTGTCCTGCTAGCTATGAGTTATGATCGCTTTGTGGCCATCTACAACCCACTGCGTTATACAGCCATTCTGACCCTTCCCCGAATCGTCAGCATGGGTTTGGGCATCACACTGCAGAGTGTGGCATTCATGGCCCCACTGCCATTCCTACTGCAAGGCCTGCCCTTCTGCCATGCCAATGTCCTCTCCCATTCCTACTGCCTCCATTCAGACCTGATCCAGCTACCCTGTGCTGACACCACCATGAACAGCATCCTGGGCTTGTCCATCGTCCTGGCTTCCTTTGGACTGGACTCATTGCTCATAGTGTTCTCCTATGCCTTAATCCTTCGCACCGTACTGGGCATGGCCTCAAAGGAGGGGAGACTGAAGGCTCTCAACACCTGTGCCTCACACATCTGTGCTGTACTCCTATACTATGTGCCTATGATAGGAGTGTCTGTGATGCACAGAGCTGCCAAGCATGCCTCGCCCATCACCCACACTCTCTTGTCCAGTGCCTACCTCTTTGTGCCCCCTGTGCTAAATCCCATCATCTATAGTGTCAAGACCAAACCCATCCGCAAGGGAATACTTTCCCTCATCTCCCACAAGAGGGTCCTGCCCTGAGGACTTTTCTTGGCTAGAAGCAGAGACATTCAATCAATCAGGTGGCATGGGTATAGCTCTTTGCTAGGCCCTAAAGGGAGAAAACAGGAAAAAACTGTGCTACTACTACAAATGTATCATTTGATTATAAGCTGTTTTGTACAAGTGGCTACTTGTTTCATGGGCTAGTCTTGATTCTTCAATCAGACTGGGAGCTCCCTAAATGTAAGGGGGCAAAGTAGAGGGGCAGAGTCCATATTTCTGTCTCCATCCTTCCCAGCACAGGTGTTTTTACACCTGTAAAGCCTTCTTAATTCGTTGAAATGCAAGGGTCCCGGAGCACAGCATCAGGAACATTTTGGACACGTTTACTTGAAGGTAGTAGAGTTATTCTATCAGATGATTTTAGCAATTACCCAAATGGGGTATAATATTTTTACGTCATCATGCCTGTTTTTGTTATGTTATTAATTCAACCTGTGGACAAGGGAGTTGCTCAGAATATAAAATGTTACAGAAATTTCAAGAATGTTGATTTATTACATAAGCAAGCACTATACAGAACTTATAGTCTTATAAAAGAATTTTTTTTATGTTGCTTGTGCCTAAAGCTGTTAAAAAGTGAAATATTAAAGAGCTTGGAGAAAAAAAAAAGAAACGTAAGAGTCCCATTTGTTTGGAATTAAGTTGGGGGGGAAGGGGAGGAAGGAAAAAAGGTGCTTTCAAAAATTGTGGTTTTCAACCTAAATGGGTTCTAGAGGCCTGTGAATTGGAGTGAGGGGAGGAATCAGGTGATCTAAACTCTGTCTTCAGAAATGAAGATGAGGATACTGAAGAGTCTGACTCTTGGGATTTCCTGGGCCTGAGAGTCTCTCCTTGTAGGAAGTGGGGGAAGGAAGAAGGACCCCTGTGTAGGATTTATGTTTATTTTTACTTTTTGTTATTTTTCACTTGGCAAACTCCAGCAAACAGGACCATTTCCCTCTGCAGAGAAGATCAGAAAAAGAGGATGGCATATGAAACCAGGAATCTCTCCTCTATTGGCTTTAAAAGACAGGGGAAGATAAAGCAAAGATAAGAATGGAAGAAATCTCCCCGTTACACCCTGACTCCAATTCATAGCTTTGTGTATCTTCCCTTTGTGTGTTTAATTTATATTTACCTTTTATTTAGGAAAGACTTTTTTAAAACCTTATCCCTTTCTGTTAGATCAGAGCGGGGCTGAAGGATTTAGAGTCCTACTAGTCATCAGAGGGGCCCTACTAGAGTCCAAAGTGCATTTTTGGGGTCCCTGACCCCTAGAACTTGGATTTTAAGGCCTTAACAAGTAAATATTAAGCCACAGATAGGGCAAGTCTGTTTAACTCGTTGCTTTTAGGAACAAATAAAAACCCTGAATTTAATCTGTGAGTAGGATGCTGGTTCTGGGGTCAGGAAGTTATTGTTGTTCAGTCATTTCAACTTTTTCTGATTCTTTGTGACCCCATTTGGGGTTTCCTTGGCAAAAATAATAGAGCGGTTTGCCATATCCTTCTCTGGCTCATTTTAGAGATGAAGAAACTGAGGCATACAGGGTTAAGTGACTTGTCCAGGTCACACAGCTGTTAAGTATCTGAAGCTGGATTGAAGATGTCTTCCAGGAATCAGGAAGACCTGAGTTCAAATTTGACCTCATGCGCTCATTAGCTGTGTAACCTGGGAGATCACTTCACCTCTGTCTCCCTCAGTTTAAATGACATCGTTCCTTTCCATTAATAGTTCATGATCTAAATGTTTGTGGAGGAATGCACTTTCAAATGGGTCTGTTTTGAGGTTTGTTTAGAAAAATTTGTTGTTTTGAAACAAAATACAGGAATGCTTTTTTTTTACATAAAAAAAAGAAAGTGCTGCGAGAGTTTTCATTTCCAGTAGAGGATGAATTCTGATCTGTAACAGAGAGAAAAAGCACATGTCACAGACAGGAGAGGGCCCTGGAGATGAGAAACTACAAGGATAGCATTATTTTCCCTGCTTAATTACCTCTCTCATCACCTCCATCACTTCCCCCCATCACCTCCATAACAAAATAAATGAGAATAAAAATCCCAAAGCTTAGTTTTTGATTGTTGACTTCAAAAAAGGACAAGACAGTGTCTATAGAATAGGAAATGTTCTAAATGATGGTTGAATTTAAATAGAATTAAATGCTAAAATAGGAAACTTGACTGGTCTGTCACCTAGACCTGTTATTTTAGAGGATGATTCAACCAGCTAGAAGGTCCCCAGGGAGCCCAGAACTACGGCTGCTGTAGCCTGGGGAAAGCTCCCAATCCAGGGATCTTTTTACTGGTTGATGCAACAGCTGTTTCCTGCCAGAGTCACTGGTGTGAATGGATGGGTATGGAGGACACACAACTATGTTTTGTTTTGTTTTTTATGTTTCCCTCCCCAGCTACTAGTACAGTGCTTTGCATATAGAAGAAGCATATTAAATGTTTGGTTAAATGTTTGTTTTTAAGTTTAAAAAAAATCAAACACATTTTGAGGCACTGATAGATAATGGCTCGTGTGAAACATTAAGTCCCTTCACAGAAGCACAATGTTCAGAATGAGATCCCTTGTTCTCAAAGGCCACAGACTCTTCAGTTCGGATGAAACTTCAGAAGTTATTGGGTTGAACTCACACCTAAGTAGGAATGTCCTCTGCAGCAGGTATTCTTCTCCTTTTGGCAGTTTTGTGAAGCCTATGGATCCTTTCTCAGACCACACACACACACACATATGATATATGTATGCATGATATATATATAAATTTTGTGTATATATATATATATATTTGTATATATATATATATATATATATATATATATATATATATATATATATATATATATATATATATATATATCCATAAAATAAAATACACAGGAATAAAAAGGAAACCCATTTTTATTGAGATGTTATCATTTTCTTTTAAAAGCAACTTCACAGATCTCGGCTTTAGAATCCCTCTTCTACAATATATATCTACCTTCTTCCAAATGGTTCTTAAATCTTTCTTTATTTAGGGTCACCTGAAAGGGTGAATCATTCAACAGCTCAGTGGCACCATTAAGTGGAGCTCCTGTGATTTTCACCCTTCGCTGGCCATCATTCCCCTGTATGTGTCATCCACACCTAACAGGAAGTAAGCTCCTAAGATCAGTTATTGTCTTTCTTTTATATTTCTATCCCTAGCCCATAGTATGCTGTGTGCCTGGAGCATAGTAAGTACCCAATAAATATTTTTTTAAAAAATCTGCTCATTTGGGCAGCTAGGTGGTGCAGTGGATAGAGCTCTGGCCTTGGAGTCAGGAGGACCTGAATTCAAATGTGGCCTCAGACACATGATACTCACTAGCTGTGTGACCCTGGGCAAGTAACTTAACCCTGATTGCCTCAATAAAAAAAAAGAGAAAAAAATGTGATCATTCATTCACTCTATGCCCTTCAGTGAAAGGAAACCCTCATCATTCAACATCTTCACTTCTGTGCCTGTGTAACATTAGGAAGTTTCTCTTTACACTGAGTTGTAATCTTCCTTTCTGTACCTTCCCCTCATTGCTATTTCCGGGGTTTCACAAGACAAATTTACTATCTCTTCCACATGATACTCAATTTCTTGAAGACAGAAATGCTGATCCCTCTGAGTCCAGGACCTTCACCATCACAGGTACCCTCCTAGACAATTGTGCCAAGTTTATCTTTGTCCTTCCTTAAATGTAGTAGCCAGGCCCAAGCATGCTATTGCAAATGTCTTCTGACCAAGGCAGAGTACAGCTGGACTGTGTGACTTCCTTACTTCTGGATGTAATATTTTTCTTCATGAGTCTTCATTCCTCTCCAGGCTGCACTCCTGACTAATAATAATAACTTACCAATACAATGATCCAAGGCAATACCAAAGGACTAGTGATGAAGCATACTATCAGACTCCAGAGAAAGTACTGATATTGTTTTTATTTAATTTTTAAAAATATTATTTATTTTTAGTTTTCAACATTTACTTCCACAAGTTTTGAGTTCCAAATTTCTCACCCCTCCCCCCACCCCAAGATGGCATGCATTCTGAATACCCCTTCCCCTAGTCTGCCCTCTCTTCTATCTCTTCCCTGCCCCCTTCTCTTATCCCTTTCCCCTTCTATTTTCCTGTAGGGTAGGATAGACTTCTGTACCCCATTTCCTGTATTTCTTATTTCCCAGTTGCATGTGAAAACATTTTTTTAAACATGTGTTTTTAAAACTTTTGGTTCCAAATTTTCTCCCTTCCTCCCTCCCCACCCACCCTCATTGAAAAGGCAAACAACTTAATATAGGTTACACATATGCAGTTATGCAAAACACTTCCACAGTAGACATGTTGTGAAAAACTAACTCTATTTCCCTTAATCCTATCCTGCCCCCCCATTTACTCTATTCTTTCTTTTGACCCTGTCTCTTCTCAGAAGTATTTGCTTTTGATTACCCCCTTTCCCAATCTGCCCTCCTCTCTGTCATCCCTCTGCTCTCTTGTCCCATTCTCCCCCTATTTTCCGGTAGGGTAAGACAGATTTCCATACCCAATTGAATGTGTATGTTATTCCCTCCTTAAGCCAAATCTGATGAGAATAAGATTCACTCATTCCCTCTCACCTTACCCCGTTTCCTCTCCACTTTAAGAGCCTTTTCTTTTCTGTTTTTTTTTTTGTGAGATAATTTATCCTGTTCTACCTCTTCCTTTCTTCTTCTCCTAGTATAATCCTCTCTCATCCCTTAATTTTATTCTCCAGATATGACCCTTAAACTTCAGCTCACCTTGTGCCCTCTATCTATCTATCTATCTATCTATCTATCTATCTATCTATCTACATACATACATACATATAATTTTTTCCCCTCCCACTACCCTAATACTGACAAAGGTCTCATGAGTTATAAATATCATCTTTCCATGCAGGAATGTAAACAAGAGCTGATATTGTTTGAATACAGACTGAAGCATGCTATTTTTCACTTTCTTTCTT